CGTGAACTGATATTGACATGTTTACAGATATTGACAAGCACTATAGCGTGAACTGATATTGACATGTTTACAGATATTGACAACCACTATAGCGTGAACTGATATTGACATGTTTACTGATATTGACAAGCACTATAGCGTGAACTGATATTGACATGTTTACAGATATTGACAAGCACAATAGCGTGAACTATTTAAGACAGTAGCACCTAAGCTCAAATAAATTGGTTTTATTAACATTTGATCTGCCAAGCACATGCTCACAATACAAATTCGTCAATGTTATTTGAGTAAATAGGTCTTATGTTTGCACTTAAGTTCAAATTTCATCAAGTTGATATTTTATCAAAGTCAATATTACATCAAAGTAAAAAAGTCATCGAAGTCTAATTTCTTTAATGTCAAAATTTCAATATTTTATCATTTTCAATATTACACCAAAGTCAATATTTCAATATTTCAAAGCCTGGGTGGGAATTGTCCTCATCATTACAGTGAAAATAACTGAGTGGGAATTGTCCTAGGTGGGAATTGTCCGGGTGGGAATTGTCCTGCTCCCAGGACATTAGCCTATCCAGTCTGGGACAAATGGAGAACAACACTATCATTACAATTATGGTTCAAATTTTATATCATAAAATAATTTTCTCCATAAAGATAATCCTGACAATTGCCTTTCCCAATAAATCCAAAGACTTTTGAATTATTTCATCTTGTTTACTAACAGACATCCATGTCTAAACCTGTGTATTACTTACCGATACATGCAGAATGTGTAAGCCTGCTTATCAACACAGATGCAACACGAGTAAGAGTCTTTATGAAACATACCACTTGTTTACTAATAGAAATCAGCCTGTGTTAGAAATAGTCTTCAGCAACCCATGCTTGTAGTACAAGGCAACAAGTGGGATCAGGCAGTCAGGCTTTCTGACTTGGTTGATATGCCATCATATCCCATTTGTGTAGATCAATACTCATGTTGTTGATCACTAGATTGTCTGGTTCAGACTTGATTATTTGCAGACCACGGCTCTATAGCTGCAATATTCCTGAGTGCGGTGTTAAACGAACAAACAGAAATCCATGTTAAGGTCTGTTTACTACAGACATGTAGCATCTTGTGTACTTCCAATACAACAGAAATAAGACACAATTCCACTGTGGGAAAGAGGACAAAACAATGTCAGATAACTGTTGTATGTACATCTTTAATATGCAGACACAATAACACAGACATTACATACCAGTCTACAACATAACATTCAACAACACTTCACATAGCATTTGTATTTTATCATGAAACAGTTACTTCAAAGAAACATATATTTATACATACATGCTTAAATCACTGTATAATTTCCTTTGCTGCAGATTCCTGTTGCCTAAATGGCTTATTTCCATGTCAAGATATGAATCATGGGTATTGCAGTGGGTAGCTATGAAATCAACATGATTGTACTTCAGATGAATGGTATCCTTATTGTGATAAAACAGTTATCCATACCATACAGAAGCAGACAAATAAAATAAAATGTTTTATAGTTTCAATATACATCTTGAAAGTAACATATGTTATATTTGGGATTACACTTTCTGAGTAAAGTACAGATTCTAGTACTTTTTGGGTTGAGTCTCATCCAGGATTCAAACCCACACCCTCAGAGTCAGGCACCTAATCGCCAGCACACAAAGTCAGACGCCTAGACCGCTCAGCCACTGCTGCACTTACTTTGTACATAAATTTTAGGGGTGTCATTCAAATTGTACATGCTTCTCCATAAAAATCATCACCCGCCCCTAGCCATAACTGACAGTACACTGTACTCCTGTCCTGGGGGAAGACCGGGTGAATAGTTTGGCATGGTAGATAACAACTTACACACAATATAAAACAGGAAAACATCATCTATTCTGCGACCATTCTCTCAAGTTAATGTGAAAAGTCAACAGGAAGTTCAAGTTATTTCTAGTATTAGCACAAGTGATAAACCAGATTTGTGACGTGATGTTATTCTTAACAAGTCAGTGAATGTTCCTTCACTGTCAAAGGAAACTATCAGTGAGTGACTTACCAGTATATATATAATGATAAACATGCCTTTGTGCTCATAAACAGCAGTACTCAGCAGTACTCATGCTGGCCACGAGGTCCGAGTCTCTGTTCCTAATCTGGAATATAGGCTGTTTGATGCCATATTGTGTATAGTGAACACTAAGGTATAATTGCTATTTGTGTTCTGTGTGCCGTCAAAAACTATATTGCATAACTTCAGGTGGACAAACAGGAGCTTATGATTATAAAATACAACATCACTAGATATGATGATTTACAATTTCATTTAATTGGATTTGTTTATTAAAATATTGCTACTTTCTATTTATATACATGGTATGAAGTAATGGAACTTAATCAACCTGTTAGACTGATACTATGGTTTTGAACCACTGAGTTTCATTTTCAGTTCAGAAAGAGCATATTCACTCTGGTACTTACACAGTATGAAACTCCCAAATATTTCAGCCAGACCACAGGGCTGGTTAGATGTAAAACTTGCCAGCCCTGACAATAAACTTACCTGCCCACAAAATATCTTCATATATATGTCTAAATTTTAACCCAACTGTCGGGCAGGTGAATGTGAGAATCTGTCAGTCCCGCCCTGGGCGGTTGGGCAGGCAGGTATTTCTAACGCTGGTCCTAAATCAATCCATGTATTTGACAGTCACAACATCCAGTAACACCACTGCTACAAACATTGTGTCATTCTGGCATAATATGGTCAGCAGGAGAGATTTCAGGCTAACTCAAAGTTTAAGACAAACAATTTGTAATCAGGTACGAAATATAAATAGTAAGTAAAAATTATTATTCAGACACAACAGTTGGGTGACAAATGCTTAAAATAACTTTTGATTATATTCTCAGGAAAGTAATATACAAACAATATTATTGAGAGAAATGTGAAAGATTTGTTTGGGCTTAAATTGTCATAATACATAAAACATTGTACAAAATGACACTGGTTACAAAACATGTATTTAATACTTGTGATTGGGTCTGTACTATTGACTGGACCAGGTAAAGCAGTGGGCAACAGACTGACCAACAAGTCCTGTCACAATGATGTACAGTCATCCAGCTTAAAGTGTTCACTTCTGAAAGTCCTATTCCTACTCAGCAGTCATTGTAGCAGACAAATGTTAATTCTAATGACAACACACTGGACAAACCTTTATCCACAGCACCTCCAACAAGTAAGTTGTATGCTTTAGTGAAGTGGAATCTCAAAGCATGGGAGACAGTCTTACATAATATAGTCAGAGCTTTTTGAGTGAGTAAGTCAGTATGGTTCTACACCGCTATTAGCAGACTTCCAGCAATATAATGGCGGGGGACACCAGAACACCATGGGGGACACCATGTGGGGAATCGAACCTGGGCCTTTGGCGTGACGGGCAAAAGCTTTAACCACTAGGCTACCCTACCGCCCAGAGCTGTTTGATCACGTCAGGCAGTGTGTATAGATAAGGAAGAGAGCCCCTATGCTGTCACCATCACTGTGCTGGCCGAGTCAGATTGGGCTTGTTCTTCAGATAACGCAGTGAGGTTGTGTATAGTTCAGGAAGAGAGCCCCCATGCTGTCACCATCACTGTGCTGGCCGAGTCAGATTGGGCTTGTTCTTCAGATAACGCAGTGAGGTTGTGTATAGTTCAGGAAGAAAGCCCCCATGCTGTCACCATCACTGTGCTGGCCGAAGTTAGATTGGGCTTGTTCTTCAGATAACGCAGTGAGGTTGTGTATAGTTCAGGAAGAGAGCCCCATGCTGTCACCATCACTGTGCTGGCTGAGTCAGATTGGGCTTGTTCTTCAGATAACGCAGTGAGGTTGTGTATAGTTCAGAAGAGAGCCCCCATGCTGTCACCATCACTGTGCTGGCGAAAGAGTCAGATTGGGCTTGTTCTTCAGATAACGAGTGAGGTTGTGTATAGTTCAGGAAGAGCCCCCATGCTGTCACCATCACTGTGCTGGCCGAGTCAGATTGGGCTTGTTCTTCAGATAACGCAGTGAGGTTGTGTATAGTTCAGGAAGAGAGCCCCCATGCTGTCACCATCACTGTGCTGGCCGAGTCAGATTGGGCTTGTTCTTCAGATAACGCAGTGAGGTTGTGTATAGTTCAGGAAGAGAGCCCCCATGCTGTCACCATCACTGTGCTGGCCGAGTCAGATTGGGCTTGTTCTTCAGATAACGCAGTGAGGTTGTGTATAGTTCAGGAGAGCCCCCATGCTGTCACCATCACTGTGCTGGCCGAGTCAGATTGGGCTTGTTCTTCAGATAACGCAGTGAGGTTGTGTATAGTTCAGGAAGAGAGCCCCCATGCTGTCACCATCACTGTGCTGGCCGAGTCAGATTGGGCTTGTTCTTCAGATAACGCAGTGAGGTTGTGTATAGTTCAGGAAGAGAGCCCCCATGCTGTCACCATCACTGTGCTGGCCGAGTCAGATTGGGCTTGTTCTTCAGATAACGCAGTGAGGTTGTGTATAGTTCAGGAAGAGAGCCCCCATGCTGTCACCATCACTGTGCTGGCCGAGTCAGATTGGGCTTGTTCTTCAGATAACGCAGTGAGGTTGTGTATAGTTCAGGAAGAGAGCCCCCATGCTGTCACCATCACTGTCCTTCAGTGACATGACTCTATCGTCTCGCCAGGTTCTCCTTTTATCTGGTAAACCTCTACAGGCAGGGTCCCGGGGATTTCTTTCATAATTGCCCGAGGATTTTCTTCATAACTGCCCAGGGATTTTCTGAGGAATAGCCCTTGACTTTGAATTATTTTACTTGTACAATTGTGAAATATCACATTAATAAAAACTTTCAATATATTGTGCCGATGCCTGATTTCCAACCAGCAACCCTTCGCATGCTAGCTTGGTGGTTTTATCCACTAGACTATGAAGGATCACTGTGAAGAATGTTATTGTATGTCAGTATGACGGGTAGTGCAGGCAGCGCACGTTGCAAGCCCCATCCCAGCTGATTTCAACAGTAATTACCTAATATGATAATTATATCTAAAGTACTAGTATATCTTCGGTCTTTTTCAAACAAAACAGAGGAGGAGGTTTTGATCCTTCACAGTATGCAATGAGGTTGTCTGTAGTTTCAGGAAGAAAGCCCTGATGCTGTCATCAATGACGTTGCTACTGTCACGGTGCTGGCTGAGTCGGATGGGGCTTGTGAGGTCTGCACCAAGTTCTTTAGGCGAGACAGGTGTACCAGAGCCCTGAAACAAAAGGACATGATGTCTGTCAGCTGTACTCGTCTATGATGAGCTGATAACTTCAAGTGGTTAAATGGCTCTTTGATCTTCCAAACTTCACCAATATTTTTAGCCAATTCAGGAAGTGATGGCAAATTATCCTACCACATACCCTCAGACAAAAATTCTGAATGCATGAAAGTAAAGTATAAAACACTAACAAATTAATGCCATGTTTCAAAAGTGTCTGGAAAGAGAATTAGTATGTATTTATTGATGAATCATATTTATTGGAAAATATTTAATTCATTTTTATTTGGAGTTAAACATCACAGATGTGGCACATAGACTTCATCTGCCACACCAAAACATCAACTTCATTGTGTCACTCAGACAAAAATGTTAATTGACAAGAAAAGACAATATCTTCTATATATTTTCCATGGCCCTAAGGGTTTGAAGTTTTCCCAGTTTCCTTGTATATACTACAGGTTCCTGCCTGTGGTGTACATACTTCTCCAGTGACTGTCCCCCGGGCTCTCCCTGGAAGTTGTAGTCCTGTAGAGCCGGCAGGTCCAGAGGGTTGCTCATAGTCTTGCTCTACAACACATACACCACTCTAACATGCCTAGCTTATGGAATACATGAATGTCTGTGGAACATTCACAATTTGAATACAGATCTACGGTATTATCAGTGTATTTAAAACACTGCTTCAACCAGGATGAACTATCAAAACCTGGACATCATATAATGATAAACAGCAAAAGCATCAGCAAAATTATTAAAATCTAAATATTTTAGATATTTAAATACTTACCTTACCTTAGGTCTTATGCATATTACCTCAAGCTTCGCTTAAAAGAGATCAGACAGTAGTTGATTCGCCATTCACTTGAATGGCTGCCTCAAGTATCGACGAGCGTACAGGAACGGAAGTGATGTGATCTCCCTTCCCGCGCAAGCACGGACTATCCAAAAATCACTTTTACTGACCAGGTCCGAAGAGCCCAGAGAGGGGAGGAGCATCCAGCGTTGGGAGTGAGTTACCGCCCTATGGTAAGGTAAGTATTTAAATAACTAAAAGGCGCGACCAAAAGCAGATGAATCGTCTCTGTATGCTTGACCTTTGCTATCACTGCTGGCAGCAGAAATGGTGGTGGAAAGGCGTATGTGTCCAGACCCTCCCACGACAAGGACATTGCGTCGACTGCCCATGCCGCCGGATCTGGAATCAGAGACACATACAACGGAAGCTGTTTGTTGAACCGAGTCACAAACAGGTCGATCAGAGGGCGGCCGTGACTGTGACATAGAAGGTTGAAAGCTTCTGGATGTAGCATCCAGGCGGTTGGCGACGGCTTGCCTGGCCTTGAGTGAGCGTCTGTTAGGACGTTCTTGCACCCTGGGATGTGCCGGGCTCTGGCTCTGATGCCAACAGGAAGGTCTGCTCCAACAACTGCTTGGACCTGGTCATTCCCTGGTTGCGAATCAACGACACAACTGTAGAATTGTCCGACGCTATCAGGAGCCTGGTGTTCCGCAGCAGAGGCGTCCAGTGTCGAACCGCTAGAATGACTGCTTGGAGCTCCAAGTTGTTGATATGCCAGCCTAGCTCGGCGTCGGACCACAGCCCTGAGGTGGTCTGGTCGTTGAGGTGTGCACCCCAACACTGAAGAGACGCGTCTACGAAAAGTTCGTGATCGTGAACAAACTCTGTCAAGGAGACTCCTACGCAGACGTTTGACTCTACAGTCCACCAGCGTGGAGATGCAGAGGCAGAAGGAACCCAGACTGGAGGTCGTCTGCCTGGATGTAAGGCAAGAGGAAGCGCTGTAACAGCCGGAGCATCAGACGACCTCTGAGCGTCAAGTCCTGGGCTGAGGTGAGGAGACCTAAGAGGGACTGCCACTCCCTGAGCGTGAGGGCTGAGATAGACCTCGGCTGGCGAAACTGACAATTTTCCTCCAGCGATCCTGTGGAATCATGACAAGGTCGCAGTGAGTCAGGAACAAGCCTCCTATGAACGTCAGTTCCTGGGACGGCTCCAGGTGGGACTTGTCTGTGTACGACTGTCTCTACCCCTCGTAGTCGATTTGTCACCTCAGTATTAGTAAGCTCTGCATGTTCCTTATAAACCTCCGGAATCTGGTCATCAAGAGGAAGCGAGACGTGAAAGGGGCTCTCAACAGCTTTCTTTTGAACTCTTCCTGCCAAGGGCAAGGCTCAAGGAACACCATCCACCGAACGACAGTGTGTTGGAGGTGTGCCAATAAATCACGTAACACTTTACCCTGCCATTGGAACAGGGTGGTAAGGTGTTCTGTCCTCGACGTGTTGTCTTCAGTCAAGTCCCATGCTGCAGCCGAAGTTGCAGAGGCCAACGCCAAAACAGGCTTCAACATCCTCTTGAGCTCTGCGTCAGTAGCCAACATCTTAGAGTCCTGCACTCGGTAAGAAGGCTGTGGAGAACCTGATAAACGTTTGAGGGATTCATCATGAGCCACGCCTCCATCAGCGAAATCCAAGCTATGTATTTTGTAGTCCCCTTTGCGCGACTTAGGAGCCTTAATAGTAGTATTGAGAGACAGTTTAGCAAAGTCAGCATCCAAAGAGGCCACAGCATCGGCCACCATCGGGTGATGCGGTAGGAGTAACACGGGAGAAGACCTAATAGCTCTTGGGTCATCAGAGCCTGAAGAGGGACAAGGACAATCTGGCAGTCTGTCGGCAATCCAGTCAAACACAGCAGATAGGGGGAGGTAAGTACCCCCATCATCTTCCTCTTGTAACATCTCCTCGTTATAATCGGGTGACAAATAGCGCTCCTCAGTGTCCTCCCAGGACGTGGTAGTAGCATTATACTGTGGGCCAGAAGCAGCAGGCGTCGGCCGCTCAGATGACAGCTGAGAAACAGCACTAAAGGTAACTGTAGGGGAACGTGGTCGTCACGGTGAGTGGTGAAAAGGAGGCGACCTTGAACGGGACCGACTGCAGCGAGTAGGTGACCATGAACGCCTCTCCCTATCATTGGAACGTCTGGGAGAGCGAGACCTGGAATCAGACCGACGATGGCGATGATTAACATCAGAACTAAGACGAGGACTCCTAGAACGATGGCGCTGTTGAGGAGACCTAGGGCGAGATCGCTTAGAACGACGGGAGCGCTGAGCTTTCTGGAGTCGGGAACGATCTTCCAATAACTGACGCTGTAAATCCTCTTCTCTAGACACCGTAGACACAGGTGCCTTCTTGGGGGTACGGTAGTCGGCGTCGGCGTAGGTGTCGGGGAAGGTGCTGGTTGATGCAACAATCCAGCAATGTCAGAGCTAGGTGCCACGGCCGTCGGCGCTGGAACTGCACTAGGCAACGCAGAAGTGGGTGCTGGGACGGCGCTAGGTAACGAGGGTGTCGGCGCTGGAATGGCGCTAGCTTGGGCTACAACTGCTGCAGGCAAGAGGAGCGTCCTTAGAAGCTTCTGCACCTCCGGATGCGATAAGGCGTCTGGCTGAGATAAGTCAACGAAGGCTTCAGACTGGCGTTGGGCTTCAGGCGCAGGAGTAGACGTCTGTTCTGCTAAAGGAGAGGAGCGTCTGTCCGGCGTCCGTGGAAGAGTAGATCGGGAGCCCAAAGAAGAAGCAGGTGAAGACATCTTCGACAACCGTTTCTTCTTAGCAGCGGTATAAGCCTTAAAATCAGCGACGGACAACGGAGTGCAAAAATGACAGAACAGGCAACTGTAGCGCAGTCTGGGCACCAAGGGTGGGGATCCTTAGCAGACTTCTGCACCTTGCAGATGCAGCAAAACTGACAGGTCAGGCACACAAAAGCTGTAACACACGGAAAAAGTGAAACGTAAATAATACGTAAACACACAGAAAAAAAAAACCTGCAGAGAAAATGGAAACACCCCTGCAGCAAGAATGGGCACGCCCAAGCAGGTGGAACAGTAAAGTAAACAACCAAGATGGCTGCCCCCACTGAGCCGAGAAGAGCGTGAAACAAGCACAAATAAGGCAATAATATCAAGATACACAAAACCAAGCATGAACATTATGGTGAAGAGACATAGGAGAATACAATACACCAAACATGCCAAGTGGAGTGACTCTCGCGACGTGGGAACACACCCCACACCGAAGTGAGAAACACGAGGCAGCCAGGTAAGTGAAGTTTACTTTAATTATGTTCTTCACCCACACAGAGAAGAATATAGGATATAAAAAGCATACATACCAAAAACAAACAAGAACTTTAATATCTGAAAGTATCTGTGGGTAGCAACCTAGCGAAATAAAAAACGTCTGACAAGCAGTACGCTTGAAGTAAAAGTGATTCTTGGATAGACCGGCTATGCTGGAGGGGAGATCACGCGTCACTGTTCTGTACACTCTACTTGAGGCTGAATCAGCAACTGTCTGATCTCTTTTAAGCAGAGCTTGAGGTAATATGCATAAGACCTATGGTAAGGTAAGCTAAAAATTACTGCTTTCTATAAACACCTTCTAATGTCTCCAAGATATATTTATTCTTGTGTAAGTCTCACCCCTGTTGCAGAAGTGGACTCCTCTGCCTGGAGTTTGAACAGCATGTTCTTGAGGGCCTCGATACTGCCGGGCTGTTCACTGCCAGTCAGGGTAGGAGAGGGAGTCTGTAACACAGCAAGAAGACAATGTATCAGTTTACCTCAAGTATTTCATGAATCAGAGTGATCAGATAGTGTCTAAACTCTTGATTATCAAGTACTACAATTTACAACACCAGTGATGCTTCATTTGAAAATCAGCAAATTCAACATGACCATTGTTCAATACAGCTAAATAGTATACTGAGGACTTTGAGACTTTCTCAGGGGACTATGGTATTTCTATATAGGAACCCTATAAATCCTTAAATTTCAAAATTAGGGCAATGATAAGGATGTACTGACTTCAATGTTAAATTTCAAATTTACCATCTCCTTCAAATTAACCAAGCAGTGAAGTGAATGATGTTAAATGCCATATTCCACAGTTGATCTTCACTTAGTTCCTACTTAAATCATGCTCATCCCCCAAATAATGCTATCAGATCCTGCGTAACCCAAACTAAGTCCCTACTCAGATGCTGCTAAATAAGAAAAACTTACCTTCTTCACGCTACGCAGTGCACTGCCAATCTGTTTTCTGTCATCAACATATACTGGGGATTTACTGAAACAAACAACAGCACCATGAATCTGTTTTTAAGAACAAGTTACTCTGACATAAAGTAAACTATACAGAAGTATGCTATTACAAAGTACAAAAATACTGAATGCTTTCACTCTTATACTGAAATAAGATCCTAATGAAAGGCGTAATCAAGACCTACTATGCTCCAACAGGGTGTTCCCAGGACCGGTCGCCATCCAACACAACATCCGTGCTGGGGCTCTGATGCAGGTCTGCACCAATGTCTGGTTTAGTGGGGCTGAACCTCACACGGGCTGGGGTGAATGTTGGCTCCTCACTGAGACTAGACATGTCTGCAAGAACAGAAGGGATTGAGCATGACCCCTCATATTTTTTACTCAATACCAACGCTCAAACCAAACATAATAAAAACAACCCACAAATATTGAAAGGTTGTGTGTTGCCAATAACCACCAGCCATGTCAGATCAACTATAGATGTAAATATGTAGGTAATAAATAGATAAATATGACAAAATATTCCTCAAGGGCGAAAAACCAAAACAAATGTCATTTTCAACAATATTAAAATCATTCATATCAATGTAATCTAATAATTATCATCTTTTGCCAGAATTGTTGAAATATTTATCTTTTTTTATTTACTTCAATTATTTACTTCGGTCACACAAGATTACTCAGGGTAATCCAGTAAACTTACTGAGGTTACTGTCTTTGAGTATAGGACTAGCACCGGTAATATCAGAATGAGGTTGATGCTTCCCATCCATTACATGGGACCCACTCTCCATGCTGGAGCATCTTGGACCAGCAGCCATCTTGGACTTGCCTGCCCTATGAGGAGAACTCCGAGTTTCTACCTCCAGCCTCTCCAAGTACCTGTCCAGTGAGGTCTTCAGCTGGTCACTCTCAGCAAGGATCTCCTTTCCTAAAGTCCTGTCCTTAGAACTGGTGGCGGCGGAGTAAACTTTAAAGCCAGGATTCGAATTCTGCAACGAGTTATCACTTTCATCCAAAGATCTTGCTCTTGGAGCTAGCTCTTTCCCTCCACCAGTTAAGAAGCTGTGCTTGTCAGAATACTTTGAAATTCCACTGGTTGCCAGATCTGAGAAATTCAGGCCCGGCCGAGAGTCAGTTAAATTTGATTTATCATGACCTGATTTGTTGAGGACAATATCTCTTCTCCCATTCAAAAGCAGTGAATCAACAGTGATATCTGATTTCTCTGCATCATGAACCCAACTTGGAGCTGGTCGACCACCAGACGTCTGTCTCCTCAAGTCTTCAAGAGAAGCATCCAGAGTATTCACCCAGCTGGGTATTGACTTACCAGAGGAGGCGTCAAGTTCACCCACCCAGTCTGGAGCAAGATGACTAGATCGAGGATTGCCATGTCTTAAATGCACGGGTAATGGAGAAGCTGAACGACTCCTCAAACGTTTGAGAATTTCTGTAGGTTCTGCATGTCTAGATGCTAACCCAGAATTGGAACTGGAAGATCGTTTACTCATGTGTTTGAGGATGGAGGTAGGAATGGCACTATCAACAGATGACCTCCGGGATGACAAGGCTGGTTTGTTAGTCTGGACAGGTATACTACTAACTGTCCGTGTTCGACTGCGAGGGGTGTGATATGAGTAAACATGTTTCCGTTTTCCATCTTCATCAACAACCATGTTCCTATTGGTGTCTGTGGGCTTGATGCTAAGGAGGACGTCTGTTGTCATACTTCCGATATCGCTCACACAATGTGTTACAGTTGAGCTGTCATCGTTGATCCTATCCAGCAGGTCAGCAGATCTAGACAGGGCATCCTCAACTGAAAACATGATAATGTATTATAATAATAATAATAATAATAATAATAGTTCATTTATAAAGCGAATATTTCCATGCACAATGCATGCTCAAAGCGCTGATGTCAGGACAAAAAGGCTTTTTGGAAAAGGTGGGTCTTTAGCGATGTTTGAAAAGTTGAAAGTTCTGTCATTTCTCTCAAATGTTGTGGGAGATGATTCCATTCTGAGGCTGCAGCATAAGAGAAAGTTCTTTGACCAAATTTAACTGTTGTGACTGTAGGAATACACAGAAGATTATGTTTCTTGGAGCGGAGGGATCTTGTTGGTTTGTATGGAGAAAGGAGGTTGAACAGATATTGAGGTGCACCAAAACTTACTAAGTAACATTTGTACATTATACCTGTTTTACACCGTTGTAAAGGTTAGCATTAAAACAATGTGTACATGCACACTTTGTTCAGTTAGGGACAATGTTCTCAGTGACATGTAGGAAATCATTATGTTTTTACAGTGTATGAAATAAGCCAAAAACCTAGCCAGACATCAAATGGATTTTACCAGACCAGACAATCCAAAGAAAATTACTGAGATGTATGGAGGTGAGGTGAAATGGGGTTTAACGTCGTACTTGAGAATATTTCTCTCATATGATGACATGCATGAGTGTGAACTTGTATGTGTGGCTGCTTGTACTAGCCCAGACTTAAGTTGTTTTTATAGTGCTAGCCCACTGAGATACCATGCTGCAGTTAAGCATGAATACCCCACTCACATTATACTGACTCCGAGCCAACCAGTCCTTGTTGTACCCATTAATGTCGAGCGCCAGGCAGGGACCAACAAGTACCACATTTTAAGGTCTTTTTGGTAAGACGCGGGTGGGGATTGAACCCGCGACCTTCCGCTCTCCGGGAGGACGCTCTAACCACTACACGGAGTTGGTTTTGAGATGTATGGAACATGTTTTCTAAACAAAATTACCAGACCATCGGGCTGGCTAGCTGTAAATGTAGACTGTCCGTCAGAAATCTAGCCCGTCTCCAGTGGTCGGAATGGCCTTATTTCATACACTGGTTTTGATTAGAGGATGGGACACCAGGAATGAGCTTCTTAAATCAGGCAAATTTGGGGAGTTGAACTCAAGACTTCATTTTAATAGACAAACACTTTGAATAGAAGGGTAGGTTAGTAGAACAGAGATTATACTGAAAGCCTGATGCAAGTTTATAGCAGTATTGTCACAGTACTGAAAATTCAGAAGATGAATGACAACAACCTGTGATCCTGAATGTATTTCCTTACCTTCCCGCTTTAGACCTGTCTGCTCCATTTTTTTCTTTTCTAGTAGTTTTTTCAATTTTCTATGTCGCAGCTCTTGCAAGGAGTCCTTCAGGTCATTGTCTACTGCTCTTGATCTGTGGGAAGCCATCTTAGATCGCACAAGCAGAAGTTCATAGGCATCTTGCTGCTGTTTGGTCCGTAACTTGCCATCAAACTGTTGTAGATAAGCAAGAAGAGCCTCTGACGCTGACATGAATTCCCTGTTCCCAACCAGGATCTTTCCAGTAGAGCAGTGTATTCTTCTCTCAGGAAGAGAAGTCAAATCACCAGGGCTGGCTGCCATGTTGGAACAAGGGGAGATAACTGTTATCATCAAGCACTTGCAGATTATCTACAAGCTGTGATCTGCTTCACACCACTGCTCCTTGTGTGTTGCAACCAGACTGAAAAGAAACAGGTATTTGCACTTATTAACAAAGTTAACATAGTAGTGCAGTTATGTCACACAAATGTACACAATACAAATCATTGCATTGTGTGCTTATTTATAGACTGTTGACATTTGACCACTTTCTACATGGCATTGTGTATTCATATAGATTGCTGGATTTAGCAAAGTTGTATGTTGTACATGGGACAGCAGGAATGGACTTTAGATTGGGCATCAAACCATGATCTTGCAATGTTTTACATGTTACCACCAGGTTAACTCACTGCCCTTTAACACAGTCTAGGGAAAGACCAATGACAATCTGATAAACTGCTGGACATGTTTAAGCCCTAAACACAAGAGACTGCATGGTACAAGGGTGTGTTCTTGCGTTCCTACAACTGATATGATAATCACTGTTTGTTTGTACATTTCAGCAGGGACTAAATATTCTCAAGAGCCCTCAGTAGTGTTTGCCAACAGTTAACTTGTGTGAGATCTCATCTCCCCATCAACACCAGTGCTGCCTTCTGTAATGATCCATTGACCTCTGTCCAGAGATGCCAACCCTAATTCAGCCCAATTAGTATTTTGGCCAAAAACTGATGCAAAAACTAGTATTTTGGGGCAAACTGTCCACATGATCACTGATACACTCCACGTTTGGAAGTCATTATCTGACAGTCCACTACACCCTTTCAATACTTTACAGGGCCCTCATAGTACCAGCCAGGGCCTGTCAAATTCCACTTTGGAAAGTGAAGGTAAAACCCTGTATGTAACACAAGTGTCAAGGTAAAACCCTGTATGTAACACAATTGTCAAGGTAAAACCCTGTATGTAACACAATTGTCAAGGTAAAGCCCTGTATGTAACACAATTGTCATGGTAAAACCCTGTATGTAACACAATTGTCAAGGTAAAACCCTGTATGTAACACAATTGTCAAGGTAAAACCCTGTATGTAACACAATTGTCAAGGTAAAACCCTGTATGTAACACAATTGTCAAGGTAAAACCCTGTATGTAACACAATTGTCATGGTAAAACCCTGTATGTAACACAATTGTCAAGGTAAAACCCTGTATGTAACACAATTGTCAAGGTAAAACCCTGTATAACACAATTGTAACACAATCACAAGGTAAAACCCTGTATGTAACACAATTGTCATGTCAAGGTATGTAAAATTGTCAAGGTAAAACCCTGTATGTAACACAATTGTCAAGGTAAAACCTGTATGTAACACAATAACACAAAACCCTGTATGTAAGGTCAAAAACCCTGTATGTAACACAATTGTCAAGGTAAAACCCTGTATGTATGTAACACAATTGTCAAGGTAAAACCCTAAAACCCTGTATGTAACACAATTGTCAAGGTAAAACCCTGTATGTAACACAATTGTCAAGGTAAAACCCTGTATGTAACACAATTGTCAAGGTAAAACCCTGTATGTAACACAATTGTCAAGGTAAAACCCTGTATGTAACACAATTGTCAAGGTAAAACCCTGTATGTAACACAATTGTCAAGGTAAAACCCTGTATGTAACACAATTGTCAAGGTAAAACCCTGTATGTAACATAATTGTCATGGTAAAACCCTGTATGTAACACAATTGTCAAGGTAAAACCCTGTATGTAACACAATTGTCAAGGTAAAACCCTGTATGTAACACAATTGTCAAGGTAAAACCCTGTATGTAACACAATTGTCAAGGTAAAACCCTGTATGTAACACAATTGTCAAGGTAAAACCCTGTATGTAACACAATTGTCAAGGTAAAACCCTGTATGTAACACAATTGTCAAGGTAAAACCCTGTATGTAACACAATTGTCAAGGTAAAACCCTGTATGTAACATAAACCCTGTATCTAACATAATTGTCACGGTAAAACCCTGTATGTAACACAATTTCAAAGTCTACTGTTTATTTATGAGTGAGCGTTGTTTACACCACACTCAACAGTATTCCGACAATAAAACAGCATTCCCTAAATAATCAAGTCTGGTCAGGCAGTTTGGTTATTGATAGCAATGATCCAAATCAACCAGGATGAAAGCTGATCAGCCATGTCACACATTAGATTCTCATTTACTGGTTTAAATGCCAATCACAGCTACCAGGGATCCACACCCTAGGAATCCCCACTACGGTTGTCCATTAAGAAAACATACCTGACAATTGTTGTACAAGACATTTATGTAATATGTATTCAGTCGTTCAGACTGTACAGCAACTGTAAACATTACTGGCAAATAATATCTACTGTCAAATGAATTCCTGCAAGTGTCTCCAACATTCAACAGGTAATGTAACGTGAAACTAAGTGATAATTCACCGCAGGTGCCCTCTGTGAGACAGGTATTGCACACGGAAGGTATCCCACTACATGGAATGTGTAATCTACAGCCTCACAGATGACTGACTCCTCTGATCCCACGGTAAACATAGTAAAGTGAAACTCTTTAACCTTCAACGATCAGTAAACCATGAAATGTTATCATATTATCTTACAACTGCTTACTGTAGTTAAAAACATGAGATAACACAAAACAAAAAGGAATTTGATCAAAACAAAAAGGAACTTTCTTGTACAATTCCAGTATACCTGTGAGCAAAAATAAAAAAAGAAATAAATACTGTGTAGACTAATAGATAGTCTACTGAAATGTTTCAGAACACTAAACATCCACTCTTTAAACACTCTCTCCAATAAAGAATATTTTCTTTCTTATACAGATTTTGGGAATCATTATAGAGCTGCCTGGACTTGCTTTAATACTCTAGACTTGTTTTGCTGTCATGAAATTAGTTTACATATATTCCACAGTCATGTTGTAGGACTATATGTGACATACTGCAATCACATTACTGAATTCATTACTGACAACTTAAATCCTACATAAAATATATTTACGTATTTGCATTAACACATAACGGATATATTAACATGATTGACCAAGACAAATACCAATCAATTACAAAAGGAGCTTACTTAACTTATTCATAAGGAAAAGATCAATCTGTTGTAACCACGGTTATTGTCCAGACACATAATATTTTAAAAACATCATTTTTGCAGACACAATTATGAAACAATAAAGTTATAATATTAAATGTATTGAAAGCAATATTATACTTATTTGATGGCTCTTCAAACAATATAAACAAGTATTAGCATTAATTAAATAGCAAGTATTACCGGGGTTTTCCGAAAGCAAGCCCAAGGCTTCTATACAGAAAATAGGGGTTTTGACAAGTCGACTTTGACACCAAATAGACGTTTTTGTTGCCAATAAAATCCATCTTTGTTCCTGTCGTCATGTCTATATAGCATGGCGTTTCATCCATGTTGAGGATATGAGCAGCATCATAACCCAACGTAAGCTGTTCTACGCCGCGAAGGTGATCCTGTATGATTGTCTTGATAACAACATGATCTCGGTTGTCTTGCTGACCCTGATGTGTGACACGTCTGCTTTTAATGTTGTGGCATTGACAGAAATTGTAGATCCACTTGTCACTAAAACTAATCGAACTGGTGCCAAGTTCAAGTTCACGTTCAAGTTGGAGAGCTTGTTACCGAATTCTCCAATAGTTTACGATCATTCTCTCCTTTCCCTGTTCCTTGAACCACGCATACAGACATTGTTTCAGTTCACGGAGTGCTGGTTTACGCCCTGCGTCAAGAAATCTCTTTGACGACTGTGCAGGCTCCACAAATTTTGACTCGTTTTTAGTCCATTCTCTAAGCTGTTTCCTATCAATTCCCAGACTCCTTGATGCAGAGGTCAGATTACCACCATACTCAAGCTTTACCTTCTTCACAACATCAAGTTTTTCTTTGATAGTGTAGGACCTCCGCTTGAACATACTGACTAAAGAGATGAGACAACAGGCAAAATACGAGACAGTTTTTCAACGTCACTAGTAACGCCAGTGAATATGTATAATGCTTGTATTTCAAGACCACCTTGAGGTAAATAAGTCCTTCGGTATCACCTGTATAGTCAGATCGCCACCTCTCTTCAGAAAGTAGTTACACACTTTGCTCTGTATTTTAGGTACATGTCCAACTATGAGATGACCACGTTTTACGGCTACAGCGTAACGATCTGCATAATTTAGATCATCACGTTCAGTTTTCAAAATTTCATCCTCTTCAGGTGTCAAAAATGTTCTATAAACGTGAAAATCACGAATAACACTTTCAACAGCGAAAACAGATATGTTCGTCATGTCAAATATAGGAAGAAATAACATAGACTATTTGTCTTGTAGAAAGGGAAAGCTACTCTCATTTTAGTGAGTGAGTGAGTTAATATTTAACATCACATCGGCTACTCTCATTTGACACACTTTGGAATTAAATAGAAGCCCAAGTGCTTCTATTTAGAAAAAAATTCCGAATAGTAGCCCATGGGCTTCTAAACGAGAGGGCTTGCTTTCGGAAAACCCAGGTACATGACATTTCACAATTTAAGTTGGCATGCTTACAAGGACACTCCCCACTGATATATACTGCTGATGAAAATGGTAGCAAACATAATTTTCACACTAACCAAGCTAACTATATAAACTCTACAAACTTTGGGTACTTTCCTTGTGGTCTGTACTGCACCCACAGCTGCCTGAGTTCTAGTTTAGTCTGTCGAACCAAAGAACATCTGGGTATGCCAGCTTGTCTACAAGCCCGCTATCAACTGTCTCCCCTCAGTCATACCGATATACACATGATAACACGTTCACTCACACACCTGACAACCACTGTCAACAACTATCAATAAATTTTCACCTTCAGAAATGTAAAATCAAATAAAATATTACATCCATTGATGAATCCAAGGCACTAAAATTTCACTTTTGTCAGAACAAACATACAAAAAACATAAACATACAATTTTCCTGTAAGCAGAGGTGGAGGTGATCCCCTCCAGCAGTTCTCATACTGCCCTGATAGCGGTAGAAACGTCAGATGTCCGAGCATGCCATTCAGAGCTATCTA